CCGCCGCGCCGGGAGCCGCCCCCGCGCCGGGACCCCTACCTGGGCCCCTGGGAGGAGGGCTACTCGCCCAGGGACAGCTACTCGAGCCGAGATTACCCGAGCGCCCGCGACTCCCGGGATTTCGCCCCCTCGCCCCGCGAGTACACCTATCGCGATTACGGCCACTCCAGTGCCCGGGACGACTTTCCGTCGAGAGGCTACGGCGACCGAGACGGCTACGGGGGCCGCAGCCGCGATTATGCCGACCATCCGAGCGGAGGCTCCTACCGGGATCCCTTCGAGAGCTACGGGGACCCGCGCAGCGGCAACCCCGCGCGGGGGCCCCCGCAGTCGTACGGCAGCAGAGGCCGCTACGACGAGTACCGGGGCTGCTCGCCCGACGCCTACAGCGGCCGCGACAGTTACGGCGGCGGCAGGAGCGACCGCTACTCCCGNGAGCCGATCGCGGGCTTCCCACGTCCCTGGAAAGGGGGTGCCCTCCGCCGCGCGATTCTTACAGCCGGTCAGGCCGCCGGGCTCCCAGAGGGGGAGGCCGCCTAGGAAGCCGCCCGGAGAGAGGGGGAGGCCGGAGCAGATACTAAGTTCCAACAGACTTGGGACCAAAATCCGTCTTCAAAGAAACGAACGAAAAGAAGGCCCTGTTCTATGGTAACTACCCAAGGACTGGTACAAGGAAGAGTTGTGTTCACCTTTTGAGAATTTCCTGTTAACTTCCTCTCCCATAATTTTGGTTCTTTTGAGAGGAAAAAGTTAAAACTCGTTTAATTTCGTTTTGGAATTGTTAACGTTTATTTCAACAAGCTCAGTTTTAAAGCATCACTTGAATCTGCGTACTGGTCTTCTTATATTTCCAAGTAGAAATTCAGCTAACAGCTTCCTCCCTTCTCAATTTTTCCTTTTAAATGAGGCAAACAGTTCTGAGATCTTTTACAAATATCAGCCCACCTAAAGTGGAAAAATGGATCATTCTGTCCATTCAAATCAACTAGATTTTTGGGGGGAGAGTGGGAAGGATTGGTGTACGCTACTCTTAAGATTTCAGGGGGTCTTTGAAACTGAATCTCAGTGTTCCCTGTATTGAAAAACAAACGACCAGCAACAACAAAAACCACTTAAATCAGATGATAATGTAAGGAAAGTTCTATTGATAAATCAAAAAAAAACACAAAATGGATAATGCTGGCCCATGGTTTGCCGTTTTGCCTTTTCTTTGGGCATCTGCGGAATCTCTTGTCCCCTTGCTCCCCAAAATACCATTCATGTGTGTTGGGCAAGGATGGAATGCCAAATTAAAGATTTGGCCAACCAACCACAAAGCTGCAAAACGTTTTTAAAACCAGAAAATAACATTTATTTTCACCACCACCACATTATTGAGAAACAGGTAGAAAATATACCAATGGTGGATTTGGGGATCTTAATCGCTTCCATTCCTATCTCCAAGCTACTTGCCTTTGGCTCTAGAGCCAGCTGCTGGCTCCTGTGGAAAGAACTGGGCTTATTCCCCTAAGGGTGGAGGAATTACCTGTGAGCAACATCAGAAACTCAGAGAATCCTTGCGAGAGCTTGGCAATTCAACATCTGAGGATCTCATCCTGGTGTGAGAGACTTGGGTCTTCCTGCCCTTAAAAGCAGGGGATGGGGTGAGTGTACCATATATTAAGGTGGGGAAGGGTTTGAGCAGACAAAGATCAGAGAGGCTTCCTCCAAGGTGACTCCGAGGGATATAACAATGCCCTTTTTTACCTAAGGCACAGGGCAAGAAACACCTTTCCACTCAACAGCTGTGGAATTTCCCTATTTATCTGAAAGAAAGTAATTGTACAGTCAAGGGACTCTAGCGACCAGAGAAAGAAGGATTAGGTTAAAATTTTAGAATCTATGTTCAGCATAATAATTACTGGAGGAAACAGACCAACACCTGAACAACAAAAAGTACTTAAAGAGATCTGAATGCAACACACTGACATACACAACTAAAACATGATTTTTTGACAAAATAATAAAATAGATGAATTACAGGAAAGGCTGCGTTAGTGGCCCAGAAGACCAAATGTAAGAAATAGCTGGAAAAAAAAATCCAGGAATTAATCTAGCAAAAATGGGTAAGACCTTTATGGAAAAATTATTAATCTTTATTAAAGGACATAATGGAAGACTAAGTAAATGGAGAGTCATATCATGAAATGGTTGGTAACACTTTTTATTATAACTATTCTCAGCCTCACCAAATTAATTTGGAAAATCAGTACAACTTCAAATGAAATTACAACCTGATTTTTTTTCCACACAGCTCCCCTCCCCTCTTTCCTGATAACACCATTTATTTGTGTTGATCAACGATGGAATACTAAATAAGAGATTTGGCCAACCAGCCACAAAACTGAAAAAAAAAAGTCAAATAGCTTCATTTCACTATGAACAAATTATTAAGAAACAGGTTAAAAAAAAAAAAATACTAATGGGAGATTTAGCTAATCTTAAAACTTTTATGGTGAAATAAAGAGCAAGAAGAGCCAAAAATATTCTGAAAAACAATTAGAAAGGACTCACTCTACTTACTCATTCTTCCAAAAGAATGCTTAGAAATCAATTTAAGAAAAAATACCAAGAAAAAATAATTTTGGCAATACCTAGTAATGTTGGAGCATACAGTGCATTACCCTATGGCTTACTGCAAAGTTCTAGTGATTTAAACTGTGTGTTACGGACCAAAGATAGACCAGTAGGCCAAAATAGCCTAGAAACAGGCCCACTTGTGTATGAAAACATGATCTATGACAGAAATAGCTTTAAAAGCTATTGGTGAAAGGATGGATTTTTAAAATTCCTATTTCTGTGCAAAAAGATAAAATGAGTTGTCCTAACATGCAGCATACACAAAAACACATTCTAGATGGTTTGAAGATGTAAATGTGAAAAGGCAATTTTTTAAATACTTAGAAGGAAATGGAGAAGAAATGTGCCGCACTGAGGTAGAGAATTCCTTTTTAAGACATAAAAAGCACAAACCTAGAAGAAAATTGACATAACTTTCCATATTAAGATATTTTTATGATAAAGACACAGTGAAATATAAAACCATAGATTGAAAGAATTTATTTGCATTGAAATAACTTCCAAACGAATGCTTAGAAATCAATTTAAGAAAAAACAGCAAGGAAAAATAACTTCAGCAATGCCTAGAAATGTTGGAGGGTTCATGACTTGTGATCCAGAAATTTCACCAAGGAGAGGAATCTAGAGAAATTTTCACATGTACACAAGGAGATATACACAGATGGGGCCTTACAGCATTCTTTCAATGTTTAAGAAGTAGAAGCAGCCCACCTGGAGGGGATCAACTAAGGTTTGTTATAATGAAGTTCAATGTAGAAGCTAATGTGAATCATCCAGACCCACGTTCATCCACAAAGGTAAATATCAAAATATTTATTTGGGGGAAAAAGGCAAATTGCATAAATACAGGTATAATGAGTAAAAGGGCAGAAATATGATTGGAGTGATACACAAGGATATTTCGTGTGAGAAAGAAAGGAAGATGGAATGAGTAGTGGTTTCAGCTGAATCTGTAGTGTTTTGCTTTTTAAAAAGGGATTTTTTTAGATCTTAGCCATTGTAAATAACGCTACTATTAACATAGGGGTGCATATATTCTTTCTAATTGTTGTTTCTGGATTCTTAGGATATATTCCCAGAAGTGGAATCGCTGGATCAAATAGCAGTTCCATTTTTAATTTTTTGAGAAATCTCTACTGCTTTCTACAGTGGCTGCACCAGTCTGCATTCCCACCAGCAGTGTACTAGGGCTCCCTTTTCTCCACATCCTCACCAGCACTGGCTTGTTGATTTATTGATGGTACATGAGTGGATAAAAAAGCTGTGGGACATTTACACAATGGAACACTATACAGCTATAAAAAAGAAGGCGCTCTCACCTTTTGAGAAGCATGGATGGACCTGGAGATAATTATGCTAAGCAAACAAGCCAGTCAGAGAAAGACAAATATCACACGATCTCACTTATATGTGAAATCTAATGAACAAAATAAACAGGAACAAAATAGGTCCAGAGACATGGATGCATGGAACAGACTGACGAATCTCAGAGGGAAGGGTGTTGGTGGGAAGAGGTTAACCAAAGAACTTATATGCATATATGCATAACCCATGGACACAGACGACAGTGCAGTGAAGGCCTGGGGTGGGTTGAGAGCCAGGTGGAGGGGGGCTAAGGAGAGGGGGATATGGGGGACATCTGTAATACCCTCAACAATAAAAATAATTTTTTTAAAAAAGGAATGATTTTTAGCAAAAATGACAGGGTTACCACCTAAAATTTCTGTGGTGTATACATTGGCATCTCATTGTTATTCTATAATTTTTAAATACTTCATAACACAAACTTTAATATGAAAAATAGAGCTTAGCACACCACCAGCATATAATGGCTACCCAAAAATGTTATCTATTATTCAGAAACCACCTCAGTTGCAAATCTCTGACCTTGACAGTGATTCTCCCAGCTTTATTCTGTCATCCTTATGGGTGGTGCCTTATTCTACTTGACTCAGTAAAGAAACTTCCTCTCGAGACTGTTCCCACAGCTAGCTCACCATAACCTCTAGGGTAGAAATTGCAAATTGAAAAATCTTAGAAAGTACACTTTTTCTCTTTGACACCTTTAATTCTTTTTGAACCATAATAGTGATGAAAAACTTTTTCCAATTAACAGAACAGCTATTTCTGAAGATAATCTCCTGAATATTGAAACTATTAATTTTTTTTAACTGAGGTGTAAACATTCGGAAATAAAAGACTTACCCAGAGCTTAGATGAATTCAGAAGTCACAGCATACAAAGGCTGTGGGTTTCTCATGTGCATGTATAACAGCCCCAATATTTCTTTGCTGAATATTAATGTATTAAAGCTATCTTTGTAGGAAAATCTGAAAGAGATCTAGTCAGTTGAGAACTCTTGTTTATAATTGCTTTCACAGTGATGAACTAGAGGGCGGGGAACACGTTGGGCATTTCAAAAGACTTATCCACTGGGTATAATTTAAGAAATGTGCATGTCATAACCAAAACCTTTATGTTTTCTATCTTGAGTTTGCCTACTCAGCTTACGCCTGAGACCCCCATCTTCACATTCTTTCTGTCCAAAATGGTTTCAGGAGCATCCAAACTGTCCATGGGACAACTGGCACCATTACTGAATACTTCCCCACCAGGTGAGGCCTAAGCACCTTCCACCTCTGACTGTAACCTGAATTCTGCTGTGGGTCCTGGGGTTCCCTCTGAATGCTGGAGGTAGACTTCTTTCCCCCTTTTTTAATCTCCTCTTTTTCCTTTGCCTCAGGCCAGGTATTACAGGAAGACTTTTCTACCTGCATTCCTCCTACCTGGAGCCTCATTTCTCAGCCTTTACATTATGTGTGGTTCATGTACCTCTCTTTTAGCCTTTACCTAAAGGTAATGTGATTTTCCTCCTGTTCCTCCACAAAAATTTCCTTTTTGGGGACAGTTGCTATGCCCTTCTCTGTCGGGCATATTTAAGGACTCACCAGGCAGAATCAGA